GCCGTGATGCGCCTTAGGGCCGTGACCGAGGAGGCCGTGAGCTGCGGCGGAGTGGTGTTGGCGGTGTCCTTGGACATCGCCAACGCCTTCAATAGTCTGCCATTTAGCTGCATCAGGGAAGCGCTCCGCTACCACGGAGTGCCGGAGTACCTGAGGCGGCTGGTGGCAGACTATCTTGAGGAGCGAACCGTCATGTACGAGGACCGAGATGGCGTCTTGAGACGCAGGGCCATGTCGTGTGGTGTTCCGCAGGGGTCTGTCCTAGGACCTCTCCTGTGGAACATCGGGTACGACTGGGCCCTACGAGGGCGTCTCCCCCCCGGGCTGGGTGTAATCTGCTACGCGGACGACACCTTACTCACGGCCCGGGGGGCTAACTTCCAGGAGGCGGCGCGCCTGGCCGCCACGGGAGTTTCCCAGGTGGTCGGGCGCATTGAGGCGTTGGGATTACGGGTGGCCCTGGATAAGACGGAGGCCCTATTATTTCATGGGCCCCGTCGTGGTCCGCCCGCCGGCGCCTCAATCGAGGTCGGCTCGGTCCTCGTACCGGTCCGGGCCCAGATGAGGTACCTGGGTCTGGTCCTAGACGGTAGGTGGCTCTTCGACGAGCACTTCCGACAGCTTGGTCCGAAGCTGGTGGACACTGCCTCCGCCCTAGGGCGACTTTTGCCCAATTTGGGCGGGGCCAGTGTTCCCACGAGGCGGCTGTACGCGGGGGTTGTCCGGTCCATGGCGCTTTATGGTGCACCGGTGTGGGTGGCGGCTCTGACCGCCCCGAATAGGGCGCGCCTCTGGCGCCCCCAGAGGATATTGGCGGTCAGAGCCATACGCGGATACCGCACGGTGTCCACCGAGGCGGCTTGCGCCTTGGCCGGAACACCCCCGTGGGATTTGGAGGCGGAAGTGCTCGCCGAAGTTTATCGGCGAGTGGCTGACTTCCGGGCGGAGAGCGGATTTCGCCCTCCACCCGAAGACGTGCGCGAGTGGCGCGAAGCCGCTCGCCGAGCCACCATGGTGAGATGGTCGTTCCGGCTGGAGACTCCACGCGCTGGCTTCGCCGCCGTGGAGGCTCTCCAGCCGGTCATCGCCGAGTGGGCGGGGCGGCAGCACGGGACCCTTTCCTTCCGGCTGACGCAGGTGCTTTCCGGGCACGGTTGCTTCGGAAAGTACCTGCACTCGGTCGCTAGGAGGGAATCGAGTCCCGCCTGCCACCACTGCGACTGCAGTGAGGATTCGGCCCAGCACACGCTGGCGGTTTGCCCCGCATGGGCGACGCAGCGCCGGGCCCTCACTGCAGTCATCGGAGCAGATCTCTCGCTACCGGCCGTAATTCGCTCCATGGCCGGTAGCGACAGTTGTTTTACCGCGGTCGCAACCTTCTGCGAGGAGGTAATCTCGCAGAAGGAGGCGGCGGAGAAGGCCCGGGAGGACGACCTCCACTCGGACCTGATTCGCCGCCGGCGAACCGGGCGGCGGAGGCGCGCTTACCTGCGCCTCATGCCGCCCTGAGTGTGGCCGCGGGTGGACGGGATGGGTTCTCCCCTCCACCCGCATTAGTTGGCCAGCCGCGAGGGGGCGGCGTCCGCGTGTGCCGGACGCCGCCTAAAGAGAGGGTCCACTGAGACGGGGCCCGCACCAGGAGCGGGCCGGCGCTGGGAAGGGTCCAGAAGGAGATAGCTACCTGGACCCTTCCTAAACTGGAAGCGCAAAGAGGGCACACCGTGTGGTTTTAGTCGGTTCGAGTCCGACACACCGCCCCGCCGAACGAGAGCCCCGGCGGGGTGACGGTCCGAGGGGATTTCCACACGTAAAAAAAAAAAAAAAAAAAAAAGGCATATCATAGATTTTGTATGGGTTTGATTTTTGTTAAATTTATTTGCTTACTATTTGACAAAACAGAGTTTGTTGCTTTTGTGTGTGTGTGTTTTAGAGTCTACATAAAAGACGATTTCAAACAATTTAGAAAATTTTATGAAATAAAGAGAGTTTGAGTTTTGAGTTTGAGTTTAATCAAGTTCAAAATCAAATTTTCTGTACCCATGAATATTTTTGTCTGGATGATATGTATATGTCTGGATCAAAAATATCATATCATCCAGACATATAAGATCAGTATGTCTATCACAGTATTCCTGTTCTTTCTTCTTTTTCAAAATTTCATGGTCTTCGAACGACCTTTACGCCAGCGAATACCTAAAATACGAATCAACAAACATTGTTTTTATATAAAAGAAGATGCCTAAAGACTTCTACTTTGTCTTATCTTCATTTTTAACCATAAATATAATGGGATTTCGGGTGACGGTTCAAAAATACCACCACCCCAATTCATCCCGTGTGTGTCGTATGAAAAGACTAAGGGAGCAAAATACGCAGGACTTCAGCTCTATAAAGAGAAGGAAAACTTGAAACAAACCATATGCCGACCCATCTGGCCATCGTAGTATAGTAGACCAAAACTGACTGGACTGTTAATGATGGCTAGCAGCCTGTTGATGATGATTAATGGGATTTGAGTAGATACCCGTAACTTTTCTTAATTCTTACCTAAGAATATTATTAGCAAATGTTTTTAAATAATACCAAAAAACTGTAGACTAGTGCTTTTAACCGATTTATTATTATAAATTGCCACAACACCTTCTTAAATATTTGTAAATAACAAAAAAAAACCTATCCCTACTCAATTATACACATCTAAGTATTTTACGCACACAGAGAATTTCCATACACGTTCGCCAGTTATGGGTAACTTTATTAAGTGCCTTTTTCAGTATTCTACTGATCTGATCAGTCTGCGTCGTTTGGGCCCACTGGTTACGCCCGCCCACTCACAGAAGCCTTAAAAACTCCTTTACCAGCAGTTTGGTTACCATAGCACAGGCTCTTCCTAGTTTGGTATCAAACAGACGTGCATGTGAAGTTATTTTTATGTTATCTCTTTCTAAATTATTATCACCACTTCTTATCCCAATCACGAATTGCAAGATTAAAGGTAGTTCATCATCAATCATCATCAACAGCCTTTACTAGTCCACTGCTGGACATAGGCCTCTCCTTAGAAAGGAGGTTTTGGCCTACTATACCACGCTTTCCGGACGGGTTGGTATAGGGTTTTTATCAAGTTTTCCTTCTCTCTGTAGTGCTGTTGTCCTGCGTTGTTTGCTCCCTTAGTCGCCTCTTACGACACCAGGTAGTTATAATGAAGATATTTTTTTTTAGTTTTTACGAAATTATTTTTTTGTAAATAATATTTTAAAAGGACTATTAAACTAATATTTATCAGGCAATTAAATGACCATATACGTATTTTACGTTTTTGAAAACAATAAACGAAGCAATAGTCAGAACACTGACTTTAAACACAAGGATTTAAATAGAACATAGTTTTCTGTAAACTGCAGCTATGCTTTTCAAATTCTACTAGGAAACAAGAATACCTATATTAAGTAAAAATCATCATAGAGTAAGTATTACAGTATTAAATAGGAATACGTGTACCAGTATTTCAGTGAGGCTGCACTCTTTAATATATAAGTTGTTTTTAATAATAACACTCACAGAACTTTTCTATCGCAATTTAATAATAATAAAAATAGCAATTCATAACTTTAAATTTATGTTTGAATTTATGTTTGACTGCACGCATGACGTAGTAGTTTAAGCGATCGCCTCGCCGCTTCCTGCTGCGCTGAGGGTTTTGAGTTCGATGCCACTTCTAACACTTTGTGTCATCCACAAATTACTGAGACTAGGTGTTTTTGTGTCGGTTGTTGTATGTCTGTAATCCGTTTTATGTAAAGTGCTGGAGTTACCCATACATTTTTTATTGCAGAGCAATGATCTGCTATTGATTCAGTATTTATAGGAGTGCATGCTAAAGAATTGAGACCTTTATCGAAAACTTGATTCTTGATTTATTTTTTTAAACAGAAATATTTCAAACACCTTGCAAAAATAATGACTATAGTTAAATACAATTTGCTTGTGAACAAATTTAAAATTATCTACACTAATATTAAATTATAAAGGTGGAGAGTTTGTTCGTTTGTTTGTTTGAACGTACCAATCTCAGGGACTACTGGTTCGAATTGAAAAAATATTTTACTGGACAGCTTATTTATCGAAGAAGGCTATTGCCATCCTGGCTATATACTATCATGGTACAGCCAATATGAGCCCAGCATCAATGAGAAAAGTTGCAAAATCCGGGCAAATTTGTACCTTTTGATAGACACAGACGAAATTGCGAGGGTCAGCTAGTGAAGATACCTTAAACTAAACGCATAAGTTTAATTAAATTTCATCTATGATTTTATCAGAATTTGACAAACAAAATACAACGTACTTTCAATCTTACAGTCGAAATATTTACATTACATTTCTGATTGTTTTATACTGTATGTTGACTAAAACAGACACATGCATAAATCACTTTGAAAAAGTGTCACACCAATCAAAGCACCTACATAATGATTAATTCATCACATCAACAGTTTATAATAGTCCACTGCCTGGACACACTGCCTGGAAAGGAGGTTGTTGTTTACTATACCACGCTGATTTGGTATAGGGTTTAAGTCAAGTTTTCCTTCTCTTTGCCGTGCTGTTTTACAGTTTGCTGCCCGAGTGGACTCTTACGACAAACACGTGATAAATATGGGTCGTGACGCTCCGTATTCTTAATCCGCCACCACACGGATGATATTTTGTCTTTAAATTGAAATAGGACCGAAGTATACCATTCTACAAAAGAAGTTTGCAAATCGGTTTATAAATAACGGAGTTCTAAGATAACAAACATTAAATAAAAAGCACAACTGAATGGACAATATCTTCCTTTTCTAAAGTCGGTTAACAAAACAACTAATATCTGACCAAAAGAAAACAACATTAAAGCATATAAATTAAGAGAAAACACTAGAAACATAAAATTATTATGGCCTCAAAACACCGGCAGTTAAGTCGGTTACGGTAATTTAACAAAGCATACTTCCTCCCTACTGTACACCAAACGGATAATGGTATGATATCCTCGTAACATCACTGGGCACGTAATGAAGATCCTGATAAGCTTTCACCATCATCTGCTGGTTGACAACCGCAAAAGGTCTTGGAGAAATGCTCTCGATCGACGGCAACGGCCTTAAATCCAAATTTGGCAAAGTTTCTTCTTTGGGTCTAATGGCATTTGGTACAAACGTTGGCTGAGGCATTGAAGGAACTGTGTAACTGATCATATTATTGTATACGAACTGGTCTGGGTAAGACAACGCTTGATAGTTGGTCTCCTGACGAGGTTCTACTTCCACAAAAGTTTCTCTTGTAGTATAAAGCGGAGGATTAGTAAATGCTGTTGCATCTAGACGATTTTTTCGCCTAGGACGATATTTGTAATCTGGATAATCCTGCATGTGTTTTATCCTCAATCTCTTCGCTTCATCAATAAAGGGTCTCTTTTCTGTTTCGTCTAAGCTCTTCCATTCAAGTCCTAGACGTTTAGAAATCTCAGAGTTATGTAACTTAGGGTTCATCATTGATATCTTCTTCCGTTGCAACCTTGACCATACCATGAAGGCATTCATTGGTCGTTTTATATGGTACGGATTTGAGTGTCTTGTTATTTTCGGTAGCTGTCTCGGCGATTGCTGTTCCAATTGATATGCCATTTGTCACGTCATTTGCCTCGAAAATACTTCTTAAAAGTGTCCCGTGAATTACAATTATTCTATTTCATATAAGAATTGAACATTATTATGGTTCTTTTATCAATTCACTTTAACAACACAATATTTTATGAGATTACCGCCCATAAAATTGCTAAAGAGCATGTTAATAAGAAATACACCAAAATACTAGTCTGTTGAAGAATAAACTTAGGATTTGATAATACCCATCTCCAACACATCTGAATATGCACTGATGACCAGTTTCGAAGCGAGCTTAGCCTGAATCGTGTCATTAGACCAACAATGGCTGGATCACAATTGGAATGGTCAATTTTCCATGTATTATTTGGAGTTGAATAAAGAGCGGCGACAATGCATTGATTGCTCGCAAATTGTCAAATGATACTCGGCTGTATGTTTTGTGTACGCCGCGCCCGCGCACCCGGCCGCTATTAACTGTACCGTCCGCAAAACTAACTCAAATTGATATTAGTTGTTAGGATTTTTATATTTTGTGTGACGCTGTATAATAATGTAAGGAGCCGCTAAAGAGATATTGTAGGTTTCTTTGACAGTAAACCTAGGTTAGTTTATAATAAGAAATGGACTTTCAGGTATAAAGATTTTCCTTCACTAGTAAACAAGTAATGATGGCGACAAAGTCTCCGACAGTCAATTTTTTGGTGCTCATTTAAAAATATTAGAATTACTCGAAGTACTAAAAAAGTTTTTTACGACGACTACAGGAAACTGCGGTCTGCTCAAGACTCAGTCTTGGACAGTCCGCATCTATCCTATCCGCTCCGATTGTAGGGGGTCCGTAGGGGAGGCCTTCGTTTAGCAATGAAAAGGCGATAGGCTAATGATGACAGTATAGAACTTTTTTTAGTCACCACTGAATCTAACTTACCTTCCATTATATTTGTCCTATTTAGTAGATCTGAATACCAGCAAAGTAAATAACAAACACTCACGGAAGGTCGCAAGGATGACAAGAAATACTTGAATATATATATAAACTTCGGAGTTTACAAGCTAGCACCATTACTATGCATCTTTTTGGAGAGTTCACTCGTTTTCGGCACACTTACGTGGCAAATAGGTGGAAGAAATTGTTAAGTTAACTTTTGTTTTTGCTTTTATCTGTTATATTAAGTAAGATATGTATTTATTCCGGTGTTTTTTTATGTTCAACTAACAAATCAAATCATACACTTCTTAATTATAATTATGTCTTGTTATAATAATGAGAGAAGGAAAACTTGACACAAACCGTATAGGTACAAACCCGTCTGGCCAGCGTAGTATAGTAGGCCAAAACCTCCTTTCTAAGGAGAGGCCTATGTACAGCAGTAGACTATTAAAGGCTGTTGTTGATGATAATAATGTATTATCCTTTAGTATAACTATAATCCTGAAGTATAATTTAAAAAATCCAAAATTTAAAAATCGGATGCCCGCTTCTTTTTTTCAAGATCTTGTCTTCGCGTATGTTTCAACCTACATGTATGTAAACTAGGAATTGGCCAAGTAAGTACGTAGAAAATTAAAACCCAAAAACTATAAAAATATCTACAGTTAATAAGAAGAAGCATTTTCATTGTTTCAGGGATAAATTATTCTGTACCAGGGACTTCCTTTCTAGGGTATACCTGGTTCCCCGGCTATTAGTACCCGAGACGGCGTGCGGTTTTAGTCGGTTCGAGTCCGACATGCCACCGACAGGTGGTATCCGAAGGGATTTCCGCACGGAAAAAAAAAAAAAAAGGGGATAAATTATTCTGTAGAACTTTTGGTGCTCAAACTTGACACTACATTAAACGCAATAAAGCTATAGTAGTGTGGTTAAAATTCCATAGATGGCAGCACCTACCCCATTTTCAGAATGCATAAAATATTATATACGAAATATTATTTTTAAAAATAAATAAAACGTCATGCTATTATTATACCTGTTTAATTTGAAAAATTAAATAATAGTAATAATGTATTACTAAATTAATTGTATTTGTTTCTAGATTTGCGTATGAAATATCGGCGAATAATTCATAAACTTGGAAATAACAGCACGCAATTTATAAGACAACGAAAAGTAGACTGTTAAAATAAATTATAAACTAGCAGGTACCCGCGAATTCGTTGGAATTTGAAAAGCGCTGCTTTAGTGGGTTCGATGCCCAAACCGGGCAAAATTTTAAAGGGTTTTCTGAGCGGCAAAATAGCCTAAGTTATTCCTTATGTAGACAGCTACCTGGTAAATCGGTCTAGCCGTTTAGAAGATTAACAAACAGACAGACAAAAAAACTGGTTTTTAGGCATAGGTATCGTGCAAATAACATGAAAAAAACCTACAATTTTGACAATACAAACAGACACTTCAATTTTATTTATTTACATAGATTGTTTACTTATGCCAAAAGTCATCATCACATTAACAGCCTTTAATAGTCCACTGTTGGACATAGGCCTCTCCTTAGAAAGGAGATTTTGGCCTACTATACCACGCTGGCCAGACGGGTTGGTATAGGGTTTGTGTCAAGTTTTCCTTCTTTTTGCAGTGCTGGTGTACTGCGTTGTTTTGCGCCCTTAGTCGGCTCTTACGACACCCACGGGATAAATTGGAGTAGTGACATTCCGTATTCTTAATCCGTCACTACACGTAACGTAACGTAATGCCAAAAGTAACATGTCAAACTCATTATTTATTTGTAGGATTTAGACTCAAGTCAACGAAGATGAATATTAAAAATTATCTCTTAAAATCTGATAGGTACCGAATGACCTATCCCAAACCAACATGCTTATTGTACTCACTAATCCATCTGCCGCACCTCATTTCGCAAGTCGTAAATATACGGATAGATCGCGATTGTGCATTGTTGGCTTCGAATGAAGTTAAGGAGCGGCTGATCCGCTAATAATGGAAATGTTGGTCAATACCAGCTTTGTACTAAACGGCCACCATCACACAAAGTAGGGTTAGAAGTGTAACAATGTTGTGACGATAATATTGGATAGAAGATTGGTTTTTTAGAACATTTTCTCATTCGCAAAAGTAGGCAAGTACGGCTTTGTCTCTGTCTCGTGGTTCTTCTCGTAGACCCTAGCTAGGGTCTCGGGGTGACACCTCCAGGTCTACGGCCTGTCCAAGTGGTGTTCCGCGCCGCCTGCCATTGCATGCGGATTACTGGGTCGGGCACAGATGGGCCTGCTTGGTAGTTCCAGGTTGTCAGTCTAGTGGGGAGGGCGTGGTTAACGAGGTCGAGCCCGTACGGCTCTGATTAGTAAGGAAAACTTGAAACAAAGCCTATACCCACCCGTCTGGCCAGCGTGGAATAGTAGGACAAAACCTCATTTTTAAGGAGAGGCCTATGTCCAGCAATGGTCTATGAAAGGCTGTTGGTGGTGATTATGATGAGCAGCTGTTACTAGGTAAGTGATTATCGCCGCCGGCCGGCCTTTGAGTACCAGCAATGGCCTTCAACGAATTAGTGTATCGCTACGGTCGAGTCGGCCCTTTCGATTACAAAATAATTTTGATAATTAGATAATTATTGTAGGAGAAATCGCGTAAAAAACATACAAAAATAATAAAATCTAACAGAACCTCCTCTTTTAACCTAACAAAACCTCCTCTTTTCTTGAAGTCGGTTAAAAATCTTTCTTCTTTTTTTTCTATTTATAGCGCCATCTGTGATATTCATGTTACACTTAGTATCAAAATACTAACCAAACATAGAACCTGAAGGAATCAGGATGCATTAATTACTTAAGAGTATAGATGGCGCTAAAATCAATCACAGTACTTGATTTAAGTAATGAAGAGATGGCACTACTAGTTATTGCAATGTTTACAAAAGAAATTTACATTTCACTTACATGAGAATATATTTTTCACTTAACACTTTGATATATTATACTTCATAACTCAAACATTTAAATATTACGTTATTTTCGTTAAACAATTTACAATTTGAACGGTTACATTATAGTTTTGATACTAATCAATTTGTGTGGGTACTCAATTTGTCTTAGTCAGTATAATTTATTTTAGTCAGACTAACCTTGAATAAATGGTTGCCCTCACAAATCTCGTACACAAATGTTATTTGTTTGATTGAATATAGTATTATTACCTATTGTGGTACAGTATTGTTAGATTTTTTTGAAAAATAAAACATTCTTGACTAATATGATCTTTAATTATAGTTTCGAAATAACTTTATTATAAAACATTATGAAGAAGTGGAGTTTGTATTTAATATTTTAGTATTAACATAGTTATGTGTTTAAATTTAAAAACCCACGGGAAGAATAGGGGTGTCACCAGGGTTCGTCACCACACGGATATTGTCAGTCATAGAGTAAATATGTCCTTCCTCAATAATCAAACTATCTCGATACCAATAACCACTAACCACTGAACCGACTTATATGAAATTTTCATCTAAGTCGGTTCAGTGGTTATTGATTCCTCATACAAACTTTTCACCCCCTCAAAGCATGATTTCTTTAATAAAAACCATCCTATGACCTTTCCTGAGACTCAAGCAGACAGAATGACAGCCAGACACATTTTCGCATTTATAATATTAAGTATGGAAGGGGCCAACTAGCAGACGGGTCACCTGATGTTACAAGTGCGTTGTCGCTCTGAGTTTCTCTTACTAGAATCAGGACAAGGAGGGAATTTGGAGTCCGGTAAATCCTTGCTGAATGCGAGTTTTCTGTGAGGCTCTTCCAGGGCGAATTTCCTTGGGAGAGCCATTTTTCAACAAAGATTATTATCATTAATCATTTATTCAAAAAAGAAATATACATAATTATGTTTAGTTTAATTGCGAAGAAGAGTTTTCTCAACTAGCATGTTTTAAAAACCAATTCAAAAAGTTTAATAGGTGAGTACCTTGATTTGTAACCGACCACAACGGAGAAAGTCTCTTTCTGTAGTATATTATCTATGGGAGGATGTTCCAAAGTCAATTTGTTTAATTTTTTCA